GCCATTTCCAGCGCTTCCTTTTACCCATAGGAAATAATCAGTTTATGGTACCTAGCTTCGCATGCTGGAAAATAGCATGCCCCAGCGCTCCCTTTTACCCATTGTAAATAGGCTGGTTCCAGCGCCTCTCTTTGCCTATTGGAAATAAAGGAAAACCCCCACCATCTATAAATTAAGAGGCATTTGCTGAGCAAAATGAGTTTTCTCTTGGTGGCTGCAAGCTTCTCAGCAACCATGAGAACTCATCTTCCTTCCTCATTTCAGTCGCTGCAAGTGTTCCAGCGGCCATTCCAGCCATCAACCTTCATCCTTTGGCTGCTGCAAGCATCCCAGCAGCCATCGACCAACACCTCTTGGTTGCTCAAGCACCCCAGCAACCATCAAATCATGTTCCTTCCTTCCAAGCTATAAACACCATAGCCTTCAAACCTCAAGCTTTTCCTCCCATTATCCTTCTCTTGAAACTCTTAAATCCATAAAGCCTCACTAAGCATAACTTTAAGCTTTCCCTTCCTTCCAAGCTATAAACACCATAGCCACAAACAACAAATTATCAACGCCCAAACTCAAGCATATCCAACACCAAGCCAAGCACATGCATTCTCATTTGCTAAACTCGTGGATCTTTAGCTCCCACACTCCAAGCTCTCATGCCAAGCTCACATAATCTCAGTTCAACATCATGTTCAACTCTTCGTCAAGCTGCCGGAAATGTCAGCGCAAAACACACAGCCACTGGAAGAAAAACAAAGTACTCCCCTGGGACTTACTTCTCCCTCGGGATACTTTGGGCCTAGTCCTCGCTAACTCAGAAAAAGGGGCAACGAAGGCTTGATCCACCACTCTATGACGGTCCGAGAATCAACAAGCTTATACGAGCCTTCTGACGAAAAAGACCCCAACATAAATGGCGACTCTGCTGGGGACTAGGCCATTAGTCTTGTAGTGGCTCTCGCAAAATCACAAGCTTTATTCATGCAATTGCACTACAAGAAAATTTGAAGATAAGAGCATTCTCTTCGATTTTGCTTTGTTAAGTTGTTCTGGAAAAAAAAAAAAAAAAAAAAGGGATGCGAAAGAATTTCTAATATTTTCTCTTATGTTGTAGATATATCTTCTTAGACAAAGCATCTTGCAAAAGGCCTATGGAGGCTTAGGCAAATCCATCACAGCAAACTACACATGCAAACTCCAAATGACTTGGGGGCTTCATGCTAAGCAAAAGAGAGAGACAAGAATCCAGAAGTTGCTGTAAATTTCAGTTTTCCTCCTGGAGGAAAGCAAACTATTTGTTACTTATCTGGAGGAAAATAGGTTGTGTGTATCTCTTCCAGCAACTCGCTTCACCTATTCCTTCTCATTTTCAGTTTGCTTCTTCCAAAGATCTTCTTTGAAGCAAGTTGCAGGAGGAAAAAAAAAATACAAGCAGGCCTCTACTCTGTTTCTCGACCCTGAGTAAGCCAAAGAGAACATAACCCAACTCTGCAACCAATTGCTGACCCCAACAAGCTGACTTGGGGGCTTTATGCCAAGCAAATTCAAAGAAGGACACCATGCTATCCAAATAAGCAAACCCATCCACCCTTTTGCCATACAGTAGAAATAATCTCTTTGATTACAACAAGCCTAGACAATCATGCATTATGGTGACAAACAGTTTTCTATTTCCCCTATTTGAAATAAGCCAAGTACTGCCAACTCAAAAAGCCATCTACCTATGAGTTTCCACCAGAAATCAGCACACCTAGCCTTTGTCAAAAATCAATTTTGCAATTCACTGCCAAACATTATGCCTTTTCGAGACCACAACCTCTTGGGGGGCTTACCCATGTTAAAACATGGTGCCATTCAGACTCATGCAACATGCCGAGAAGGAAATTACAACATGCCAAGCAAATCAATCAAGCTAAATTTACATGAAGAGAATTAAAAACTTGAGTAGAAGAAGATTGAGCTCAACATTCATTCACAGACTGGGGTCTTCAGCCAACATGCAAGCCGCTGACCACCGTTGTCAACTATTGAGGCTAGCTCTGCCGTTCACCTTTCCACCATCATCAGCA